ACGCTACGCTACGCTACGCTGCCGCAAAGTATAAACGCAGCCTAAGCTCTATTGGATCTCTCCAGGAGAAAACACGTCCGTGGTGGCAAAAGAAAATGTGCAGAGAAGGTCAGTGGGTTGCTGGTAGGGCAGGAAAGGGGCAGATGGTAGTGCAGTGGACGACTAGCGACTCAACTCTAATTGACTTCAAAAGATGGCCGACGTTACATGTGAACTTCGCCCGAAGAAGTCGAGCGTGTTCCTACTCTACGATAGCCATGCGCGGGAAGATCAGAGACAGATGATGAAGGCGAGCGAGACGACAAGTTCGAACCCCTCCCCCTCCACACAGAATAAACGCAACATGTCATACATCTCATCTCTTATAAATAAAGGACCGCTGGCATATCCCAGACGGGTGAAGCAGCTTCTACGTGTGCCCTTTTATCGCCTTATAACGACCACAGCGCTCTCGTCACTCACTACGGAGCCGCAGAGGCGAAACAATTTCTGAGATTGCGGACCAGACTAGTTGTACAAGGGATTCTACCTGCCCACTGGGTAGCCATGGGATTACCTCAAAAACGGAATTTGGCCCACTTGAAGGGCCATACTATACGAAATGCGCAAGTGGTAAGTGTACCTGTGTCAGCTGAACACGAAAAACACATGTACTGGAGAAAACACTTTGAAAATTAGACGATTCAACGTCTCCTTTTCTGATGAGCCCTCCTTCTCATCAACACTGGGGACCACCAGTGAGGTAGGGTCCAGGAAATATAGACATAGGGAAGAAAGTTACGAAAAAAATATCGATGGGGAAATTCCAGCCTAACATGTATCCAAACCAAGGCGGTAAAAAGGCGTCTGTAGAACAGGTAAAAGATGAAGAAAAAGCAACTAACTAAACAACTGACCTTTTGCAGAGTATCAATTTTGAGCTTGTCGAGCTTCTCCTTGTTCACTCGAACTGCCGATTGGGCTTCACGGAATTTTTCCAGCTGACGGTCCGTGTCCGGATCTAGCTGAAATTCATAATGTTTCCAATATTACCGTGATCACCAGTCAGTAATTGTAAATTTTTGAATGTTGGAGTTTTCTATACATAACCCTTGGGATGGTGAGCATACATTTATAGGTTCAATCGAAACTACCTATTGCGAGATACTGCTTTTTTCGCGTTATCTTTTGTACCTTTCAATATTTTTTCGGCTCCTGAGTTCATTATGGACAACTGGGCCATGCGATTTTCAGGCTGATGTGACCCTCATCATCAAAGGCATGTTCCAGTTGCTAGAAGACTCTGGATTCCAGTTTCCGAGAAGAAATTAGAAGCCTTTAGAACGACCGACAAAAGGGTCTCACTATTAGAGTAAACACAACTGTCGTCGTGAAGCACATCAAAGACTTGCCAAGCTAGGAACAATCTCTGATCAAGTGCAGCATAGAAGGCCACAAAAAGGGAATCGTGATGGTGAAACGGTGGTGTCAGGAAGACTCTAGAACTTTTTTGTGGTACATCCCCCTCGCCTTATCTTCCTACCATCTTTCTGAATTCCCAAACCCCCTACCAAATTTCAGAACTCCTCCAGTTCCCAGAAACATTCTCAGTTTTTCGCTGTCGGGCGGGGGGAATCGAAGCTGATTCCAGTTACAAAAAATAGCAGTTGTGTAGCACTTTATGCGACGATGTAAAACTAAAGAGGGGTGGGCAGATAAGACCGCCTCATGGGGTTATCCTAACGATGCTGTACCCGGTTACACACCGGCGCGCGAGCCAAGCGAATGAATTAGCGACTTCCATACCGCACTCTGTGCGCAACATGTTCAAGGATATCCGTATAAAGGTACATCCACGAGGAGAACTCCATTTCACTAAAGATAAAAACTTAAATATTAACCCTAAGCTGTTGCCATTCGTTCAGTCGCTGGCCACAAGGCCAAGATGGCCGAAACTCATTGAGTCCTCCTGCGAGTTCTCATCGTAGGTGTGGCCTAACAACTCCTACAACCTATGTCCACTGTATTACTTCCTCTGATGATATGCAGGTACTGCAAAAACCGCAAAGAAGCCTGGACTCCCACGAGATGGTGCTTGGGATGAGCCTGACCAGACCCAGTCACACGATAGAAGCCTTAACCAGAGGGTGAAGTTCACGGCATGAACGTTGGTGGAGGAAGCTCGTGAGTACCGCGTTGAAACTGTTCTTCAGTAATCAATGACCTGCTGCAATTCAGAATTTATTCGTTATGCGCCAGATTAGGAGTCTCTGGGTTGTTATGGCAGGTGTTCGTGAAGGTGTAATTAGTCAAACGCCCTCGCCGTTTCAGAAAGAAAAAAGCACCATCTCAAAAAAGGGGGCAAAAAATTCAAAAGGAAAATTATCCTGATAATTTCACCTCTTCGCTGGTTTTCTTCATCCACAGCAAACTGCCTCGATATTCGAGCCGTGCCCGTTCAACAGCTTCCACCGTTTGCGCACAGTCGAAAATTGCTCGATCCGTGAACGTTTGTAGCTCTTGGTAGAACCTACAAGTAATTCAGTTGAAATTAAACTAGAGCAGGTGGTTGGACTGCAAACGAACCCACCTCAACAGCGGTACACGAACAGCAGCTCTTTGATGACTGCTGAACATCAACGCTCGGCCAAGTGCCACCATCATTCGACCAGTGTCCTCCCGTTTGTCAGATTTACCCTGATCTTTCAGGTATCGACCCAGTTCGTTCTCACAAAGGGTCGAATCTAAATAGGATTATTGCTTGAGCACGTCAACACTTGGGCAGTCAATGGTTTATGAACCTGTCCATAAAATATTACAGGAACGTCTTTACTTCAAAGGCGCGCCCCCAGTTCAAAAATGGTGAGTGTGCGCCTCAGATACTAGTAACGAGATGGTAAATAACACAAAGGTGAACAAAAATGCAGAAACCCTTCTAGTAACAATCACACCACCAGGAAGCCTTTAAAACTGAAAGTTGGGCGTTGCATTAAGCACTGGGCGGCGCTTGCCTTCATCGCGAGCAGGTCACGCTTTCCTCACATATTTTTGAGCTGCGAAAGTAATGAATGCTTGCGCACAGGACTACCATGTCTAGAGAAGGCGTCTGCACATCAAATGAACGCGGAGCATGTCTTTGAGGAATAGTGACTTCAACAACATTGCCTTCAAATGAAGCAGTTGAGCAGAAGGCAGAAGTTATCACAACGATGCCAAGCAAAAGGTTACGGCAAAAGGCATTGCCGCAACCAAAAGTCGAACCTGCACCTCACGCTTAACGGGCTGAACACTAACCATCACACCACCACCAAGGCCCTCTTGGCTTTACGACTTTTGCTAGCGGGAACACGTGTCGTACGTGGGGATCTCAGGGAGAGAGTCGTATTGTATCTGGGGAAGGGAGGTTGTATCTGCTTCTGCAAAATTTTTTTCGGTTGTAGACTTTTCTCGGGTTCTCCCGGAGAAATTTCTGAAAAAAACACACACACTCCGGAAAAGTGGTAGAAAGTTGAGAAAATTCAATAACATATGGGGTAGAGTGGGGATGGGGACAGATAGTGTGCGAGGAGGAACTTTCGAAGGTGGAGGGACGCATTTTACAAAATTCATAACGGGAGGACGTGCCCGATTTGCTACAGCTTACTCAGTTCCCGCTCATTGTCAGGAGCTAACCGCATTCATGTGGTTAGCTCCTGAGCGGGAACTGCCACAGCTGTACTAAGGGAGTTCCATGCCTAAGAAGCTGACGAACGCCGTAAATTAGTCCACCTGCGAGTTTCTCTCCCACATAGTGTGCGGCTGGACTTCAGTCTGAATGCAGTTGTGCACCATATTCCCAAATACGCCTGTTTGAATCTCATGATTCATTTAATGTTATGGCCCTCCTTTCCACATCCGAACACTTTTTGCTCGACTTAAAACAACGCGCCATTGCTGGTTGCGAGGAAATAGAGTTGGCATGCGAATGGAAATGTCAAAAAAAAGTATTCTCCCTCAATGACGTCTGGAAAGACTGCGATTTTCCATCGTCACATCGAGGACGCAAGCCTGTTCCGACGAGCTAGTTTAACGGCTCTTCAGTCTACAGTAGTCTGGCACTGAATTTAGTCATTCCAGCGTTTCTTCTTCTTCTCCTTAAGGGTGCGTTCATATTTTGCGCAGCGTCCACGAGCGTTCCGAACGTCCAGCAGCGTCAGCGACTGCGAAAGTACATATAAATATTGATCTAGCGTCTGCCAGCGTCCACCAGCGACAGCAGCGTCTCGAGGGCTAGGGAAAGCATAGGTATCGATCTAGCGTCCGCCAGCGTCTTCCAGCTTCTACCAGCGCCCACTAGCGACCAGCAGCAGACTGTTGATAGGGAGTATTTCGCGATAAACCACCGGCGTCCACCAGCGACCAGGAATACGTTATTGGTGAAGTTGCACGCGCCACAATTTCACGACGCCTAATCCTAATCTCCTCTTTCCCACTTCCCTATACTCTGCCAGCAGTCTGCTACCCTCCTACTTCCCCATACTCTCTACTCCTGGTCGCTGGTGGACGCTGGTAGACGCTAGATCGATATCCATACTTTCCTGGTCCCTCGAAACTCTGATGGCCGCTGGTGGTTGACATCTTTACTTTTCTAGTCGCTGACGCTGACGGACGGTTGAAACACTGATAGTCGTTGGTGGACGCTGTGCGTGGACGGCTGCCGCAAAGTATGAACACGGCCTAATGAGTTCTTAACGAATGCCGAAGACCTCGAAAATGCCAACAATTTGGGCTTTATTTAAAGGCAAGGGGCATACAATCGACAAGGTGTGTAAGGTAAATAAATAAATAAATAAATAAATACCTAGGCAGGAAAGAATAGTGTGCCTGTGGCGCTGTGTGTTGCCTATCCCAGCAAAGGGCCCCGTTATAGCGCCTTACCGTAGCATGCCGACTCAGACGCCCACCGCCATCGCCTGCTCAGAAATTCATCCCTATCGATGCTGATAGTCTCACCGCTTCATTGACGATATGCGATTGATATGGAGTGACTTCATGTACATATATATTACATGAGAAGTTCCTATAGATGCGGCTGCTGGCAAGATGCCAACAGAAAACGCGTCCGAAATCGCATCCTGTCAGCCGCATACTCGTCCTATGTCGTGTAGAATAAAGGCTTTTTGACTATGCCTTTTTTCTCATTTTCCCACTGTATACCTCCTCCTCCCCCCCCCCCCAGGTCACCATCCTATCAGGGAAGTACCAAATTATCGCGCCTTATACCTATAGTTTTCGCTCCTGTTATTACCAAAATAGAGCTGTCCTTCCATTTCATTAAATATTCGAAATCGAACAGCTGGCTGTTTCTTAATGAATGTGGTCTGAAATGATGTATGACTCGTTGGAAGCGAAATAGAAAGCATAAATTAGCGTGCAGCGAAGCGCTCAAGAAAAGAATCGAACTCTTACAGCGAGCAGTATGCGGCTCCACATTTAATTGCTTATAAACGTGAAGTGATGCAGTTCTAGTCATACCCCTATTCTCTCCCCTCTTTATGGCTGCATTCCAGTGCTCAGGAGGTTCACAGATCTTAAGTGGAGAGGAAAGCCAAAAGGAGCCAATGTTTTGTACTTCTCTTGAAACCTGGTACGAAGCAAACAACACGGCCGTATCCGACAGTGCCCGACGTGAAGTGTCTTCTAGTCGCTTCTAGAATACTGCACAATATCCGTGTATCTGCAACTAGGTCTCGGGAAAATCGTTCAGTACCTGTTTAGGTAATCGTATTTTGGAAAATGTAGAAGAGTTTTCATGTAATAGATGGAG